TTCCTCTTCTTTCTGACCTGGTCCTGCAAAGAGGGCTTTTTCTTTTGTATTGATCAGACATCTGTACCTAGTATCTCCCATCTCCATGATTACTACTTTGCGATATCTAGAGAAAGGCTTTTTTTTTTCCTAAATCTTTTCTTCTCCACTGGGCTGTACAATCTTTATCAGAGCACAAAGTGTGAAGTTGTCCCTGTGAGTGGTGCTGCAAAGACCATGAGGAAGGGTGTGAGCTAGACAGGCCAAGAGGCTGCAATGGTGAGCAGTGGACAGGAGCCCCCTGACAATGGATGTCACGTGATCCTCCACAAGACACTTAGGGACACACCCTCTGATCTAGGACACAGGTCCTTCCATGTCATATTTTTGTTCACTCTCTACATCCTGTGTGTTCTCTTCCTGTTACAATGTGCAATCTCTGTTTTTTTTTGTCTGAACATGTGTTTGAACTGATGGAGTGGTGCTAGTTAGGTAGGTGCTCAACATCTTCAGATGTACTCCAGCACTTTATGGTGTATTTGTTTGTTTGGTTTTTTTCCATTTAGATGTTCATACTTTTTTCCTGGTCTGGCTTTGACCATGATCCTATAAGTTCTATCCTGGCATGGCTGGAAATTTAAGGGTATACTAAAATGTCTGGCCAAGCAGTCTCCATGCTATACTGCACCTCTTTAGTGCTTATTGCCCCACCTCTCTCCTCTAACATCCTCCACATTTTGTAGTTCAATTTTTGTTATTTTTCATAATCCTGGAGCTCAGACTACCTGAGGACACATGTGTTAAATTCTGTCTTTATAGCAATGTGAGCACCTTGACACAACAGCTCTTCCTGGATGGTCAGTGGTAAGCAATTCTTGCCACTCTTTAATACCAGACATAGGCCTGGATAGAGCATCTCTTTCATAATACTAAGCCCAATTTTTCTTAAAGATCAAAATTTCATTGTTCTCAAGAGATGGACCCTGATATGTTCTACACAGAGGTTATGGTGAATGGGTTAATTTATAGCCCTTAAAAAAGAAAACAAACAAATAAACAAACAAACAAAAACCATCCTTACCCATTAATCAATTACTCCCATTTGTTCTTTTTGTACCTGGTAAGAGAAGAGAACAAATGGATTAGTAAACTGGATTGACAGGAGAATCTGGGCTTCCACAGGCTGTTACTAGGTAGGAAGAGTCAGAGTGCATCTCCCTTGGTGCTCATGTCAGTTGCTGGTGGAACAGGTGGGATCTCACCATGAGATTCAATTTATTATAACTTTCAACGCCAAGAGCTATGATATGTTTGAACATGAACCCAAACAAGATGAACAAGATGGAACCTTCTTTGAGACTCAACTGAGCAAAGTGAACAAGTGGTGGGGCCAAGAGACATTTGCTTAATTAATAGGAGTTTTATCCTTAACATGAGAATTTAGGAGTGTTCCACAGATGATTGGGAGAAAGAGAGCACAGCATCCTTAAAGATCCAGATCTCAGAGTGTGATCCACAAATCTTGGACTGGGTGCATAAGAGACCTGGGTCCAGTGTCATACATGTTGGATTTCTGATTCACAGTTACATATATGGACCATGCATGTGGGGAACCTTACAACCTCTGGAGAGAAATGTTCTCTTGGCTTGGAAGATCAAAAAGAAAAGCCTTTCTTTGTATTTCTGTTATAAATATTGAACAAAGAGCAGCAGATCTGCTGGTCTAGGTAGATAATATGGGTGTCAGGTCAATCTCTCATTTACTCATTAGATGGAAGAGAGAGAAAAAAGGGAGAGGAGAGAAGGAGGGCAAATTGTAGAACGGAGAGCAAGATAGAAAAAGAGACAAGTAAAGGCAACAGTACTAAAGAAAGATGAAGAAAGTCAAAGAAAAGAAAGGCAAAGAAAATGGGATGTGACCCAAGTGTGCATTGTGCATAAGTGAACGGCATAAGGAGTCTGTTCTAGTCAAGGAAATGTAGTAGAATTCAAATTTCACAGGAATAGGGTAAAGTAAGGTTCAAACACAATAATATAGCATACATTTACAAATTCATACAATGGTGTAGAATTTTCCATAGGGTTTATATTTGATTTAAAATGTGTGGTTTATATGTATATATTTGCTGCTAAATAGAGAAGGTATTTCTTTATTTTATGAAGTGAATATTAGCTTCACATTGTTTAGTTTTCTGCATATTTGTATTATTTGCTTGCCTCAGGAATTGTCTTGGGTGTTGTTCACTTGGTTCTTATTGTGAATGGGGTTTTCACTACATGCATTCTCTGACTGCTCTGGATTAATTTGATGTGCAACGATGATGCAGATATATTGAACATCTGGCAGGCAGATGCAGAAACCATCACTTTTCCTCACTCCAATTACAAACAAATCTGCTTTCACACAAACCTAGATGCACTGGTCTTTCTAGAAATACCCATGGCCACATCTTTTTTCTTTCTTCCTCCAAGGTTTCCAGAGAGACCTTCCTCATAGATGACTGGAGGGTCGCCCCATGGTGACTGTAGATGGCTTACTGTACAAAACCCAAATTCCTCCTGAGTTCTGGACCTTGACCACCCATGGCCACCCTCACAGACCCTTCCTTTGCTCTCGGGTTCCTGTCTTACTTCTATCTTCTACTACATTGTGAGCTCCACTTTTCATGGTCTTAAAGACAACCTTGGAGGGAATTGGGTTCATTTATGATAATGGTGAAAGCACTTTAGAAAATTGATCATCTGGCTCCAGCAAAGGATTCACACCTCAACTGGGACAGTTTCCTTTTTTCCATTTTTTGTTTTGATTTTATCTTTCTGCACATTTGTCATTGTGGAAATGTTTTTGTTTGGTTGTACAAGGTTTGCACTCCTGGCCTCATGCTTGCTAGGCAATCATTATACCGTATGAGTTTTTCCCCAGGTCATTTTGATTTTAGATATTTTCCAGAATGGGTCTCATACCTTTTGAGTGCACCAACAGCAGATGGTGGTCTTTGTACATTTATCTCCCACATAGCTGGGATTTCAGAAAGGTGCCACCACACCAGGCACGTTTACTGAAATAGGAGTCTTGTAAATAGTTTTCCCAGGCTGGCCTTGAAACTTTATCCTCCGGATCTATGCCTCTTGTGTATCTGGGACTCCACAATAATTATCACAACAAACCATGGAAACTTATTAAGATAAAAAAACTACAGAGAAGGAGCCCCATGAATCCTTTGCATCAATTTTCCACCTCAACCATGATTCATCTTGATTTCTTTTCAATCCTTTGAACGTATTTAAAGAATCCCAAGCATTTTATTACTTCATCTGTAAATGTCTTTGTATAAATGTAATATATAATACTCAGAAACTCTTGTGCATCAAAACATTGGATTTTAACTACAATCACTTAAGCGGATTTCTGATTTTATTTTCCAAAGACTGGTTAACTTATTTGTTTACTCGGTTTTATTCTTTTGATGCTGAGGACTGATCTCAGGGCCTCAAGATAAGCACTATCTCTCCCACAAAACTCCCACACCAGCCCTGATTCATTCATTACTAATAAGCTAGGTACAAATAAGTTATATTAAATTTGAAACCAAGAGATTCCTTAACAGGTGATTTTCATAAATTAAATCCAGATTGGCAAGTACATTCTCACACAAGCTTTAGTCAATCAGCCTTTAGTCTCTTATATAAAAACAAAGAACACAAATTTATCATGGTTTATTTATTATTTTAGCCACAAGGGTTCTTTGAAAGTTCTGGGTCAAGGCTTTTGATTTAGAACCTCATTGACAACTGTTTCTCAAATATTTAAATTCTTATCTTACAGGTTCATAGTTGAGGGGAGTATTCACACAAATCACTCACCTCTCTCCATTGCTCAGCTTATTTGATCTTGAAGTTTGCATTCGGTATGTAGATTATGATTCAGTTTCTGCCTCCTCACTATGGATTCCTTACACAGTACCAGAAGATCAGCATTTTTCACACATTGCTATCCACAAGATCCCACGGAAACTGAGACACTTTTGAATACTTCCCATACTATTATAATTGAAATATGTATGTACACTGTGAAGTGAGGGCTGTCTTCTGGAGGGCTGTGCCCTTTACATATTAAATTGGACCTAAATACAAGTATGTACTATCAGAAAATCATGCCAGAGATTCCATTAGACATTTCTCTCCCTCATGTGAACAAATTCCCTCTTGAAATGTAGTGGGGAGGGCTTTCCCAAAGCCACAGGTATAGGAAATCTCATATTCTCCCATCTCACATGTGAGCAATCACTCTCTTCCTTCTCTACTGCCTTCCTTTCTTCCTTCTTTTCTTCCTTCCTTTATTCCTCTTTTCTTGCTTTCTACCTTCCTTTCTCCTTCCTCCCTTCCTTCCTTCCTTCTTTCCTTTCTTTCATCCTTCCTTCGTCTTTTCTTCCTTTCTTCCTTCATTTCTCCTTCCTTCCTTTCTCCCTTTCTTCTTCCTTCTTCTCTCTCTTTCTCATGCACATACACCTGCATGAACACACAATACCCTTATTTCTGTTTGCACATGGAAGTGATGGGAGGTGAGTGAAATCCAGGCTGATTACTTATGCTCTTGTGATCCCATTGGTAAAAGACAAAATTTGATATCTTCTGGGAAATATGAGTACTCAGCAATTTGTGACGCCACACAAGTGCAGCATGTGTACAAAAGGAACAAAGATGGTGATAGGGGAATTGTACTATCAATGTACATCTAAAAATGTCCATGAACTCTACACCAAATCCCACAATGACATTGATGAGTGTGAATAACCACAAATGTCCACTAGAAACTAAATATTCCAAACACATCTGAGGAAATATGTTCATTCAGGGAACATTAAATGTGAATTACACTTCCCATATATCTGGGAAATTAAAAAATCTCAAAGGGTCAAAACATTCCCCAAGAGGAAGTCAGGTTTGGGGAGGGAAGTGAGCCCAGGGCAGATCAGCCAGCAGGTTTTTGTCTCACTTCCCCTCTGCCTGTGTCACTGTGGTTACACGAAGCTGCTTCCACTGCCATGAGCTGCCCCGCAGTAGTAGACACTCTCATCCTCTGCCTGGATGTTCTGGATGGTCAGATACCGATCCAGCCCAGAGCCTGAGCCTGAAAAGCGATCAGGGATCCCGGCACCCTTGTTTCCCACTATGCCACCAGGGCCGACTAGCATCACAAACCGGGGGCTCTTCCCTGGGCTCTGCTGATACCAGCCCACCACATAATTACTGTAGCCACTGCTCAGGGTGCAGGAGAGTTTGGCTGTTTGTCCCAGAGAGGTTGATGCTGATGGTGGCTGAGTCAGCACAGGCTGGGAGAGGGACCCTAGAAAGAGAGATCACCATTAAAGATCCAGTTGGAAAGAAGAGACTTTTTTGAGGGGAAAGGATGGGGACAGGTGCAGGGTGGACCATTATGACCTCTTTGGAGGAGTTGACCAGGGCCTCCACCTGTGAAGAGAGGAGGACCATGAGCAGAACAGGAAACCAGGTCATGATGGAGGTGCCCCACGCTGAATCCTTCAGGTATCAGGTGAGCCAGGGCTTCCAAGCCTCTTATCCCCTGAGCATATCTCTAATCAGGTCGTGACCCACCCTCTCATGCAAATCTGATCCCTACCAAATTAGGTAATTAACAAGAGGGGAGGAGGGGACAACTCAAGTGAATTTATTCTCAACTGTTTGTCTCCCCCTTGTGGTCAGACATCTACTGCATCCTCAGGAGTCAGAAATCCTTCCCTGATCCCTGTGTCACAGCCTGTGTGAGGAACCCAGTTGCATGCCCTACAAACTCTCATGCTCCCATTGTCTCAGAAAATCTTCACAGTCCTCTGCTCTTTGTTGTCATCCTTGAGATTAAGCTACTGCTACATCATCTAATCCTGGAGCCTGTAATGGCCACCTGTCCTGACTTTCACATTTCCATGGCAGTCTTAACCCCTCAAAGAATACTAATTACATGCCCACCTAAGCCAGATCCAATCCTCGGCTCTGGGGAGAGAATAGGATCAGAACAAATCGTCTCTGACCCATTTTTTTGTGGTACTTCAAGGGTGACATCTTGCCCAAAAGTAAAACTGATGTCCAGTGTTGCCATGGAGCCTCTGATTGCTACACTGAGTGATACCTGACAGCTGACCAATGGGAAAGGTGACCTGGTATTTCCTAGTTCTAATTTAACTCACAACTCTACTGGTGAAATTGGACATTAGAAGGAAGTGACTTAGAGGTTAGAGTTTTTAAGAAGGAAATTGCTTTTTCTTTTTTTGAATTCCATTCTGCAACTTTGAATCCACTTTGATGAGGTTCTTTACATCTAAGTCACTGTGATAAACTCACTAAAATCATGCACAATAATAATTGATTAAATCTTAAAATTATGATTTTTCAAATTGATTTTTGATCTATTCTTCAGTGTTTTGCAATGTATTTATATCATATTTGCACAAAATGTAGAATAAATAAACAACAAGAAAAGAACAATGTAGCTTAAGCATCCTGGTGACAGAGTAAGCAGAATTCATTTTTTTATCCCAATCTATGATGCTAATCTGTGGACTCATTGAACCTGCATGTCCTTTAGCCTAATCCTACTCCTTTAAAATGAGCAAAATGTGCCTGTTCATCCCTGATGCCATGTGAAAGTTCTGCAACCACATCAGACCTACTCCATTTTCTGAAGAGAGGCTGAGCCAGGGAAGGGTGGCTAGTGATTCTCCATGAGATATGTTAGGATAGCATAGTGGGATGGTGATGTATGTGCTCCACTTTTATAATATTAGATATCTTTCATTGTCTACAGCGAAAAATGTTGAATGTTATGTTTTGTGACAGAAGGGAGGATTTTCAGGATTCAGAAGACAATGGGACTATCATGAAGAGGATGTTGAAAGTGGAGATGAGAATCAGCAGCTAATTCTCAGCTGAGGGAAACAAGAAGAAAGGCACAAACTTCCTGGGCTTTTCTACAATTTCAGTACAAGTGCATATTCAGTAAGGGCATCCACATTCATTTCCAACACCACTAGGATATTGACTCTAGGACATCACTGCCTCATGGTGGCAGGAGGAAATGTTCACTGTGCCTGGGAGTGATGAAGTCTTGACGGCCAGTGCCCATTCCTGCTTTCTCTTTGTGTCATTCACTGCTCCTGCATTATAAGTATGTGACCAAAGCATGAACTTGATCTGGAGAGGTCAGTTAGGAAAGGTAGGTGGGTCAAGTGAGGAGAATGTGTGTGAATGTGTCTCAGGTTCAGAGAAAAAATAAACCAGGTAATTCTTGTACAGTAAAAATAAGACTGTCACTGCAGATATTCCTCAATTGTACATAAAAAACCAATCATACAACCATATTTTTTAAAATTGTCATTGTACAGTAGGATGTATAGTGGATTGTTAACGCTGCCTAACAAAAAGCTGAGACAGGGTGACTTTAGCAACAGAAATTTATTTTCTCCCTCTTTTGGAAACTTTAAGTGCAAGGCCAAGTAGTCAGTAGGCTTCATTCCTCCTGGATACCCCATTCTTGGTTTGCACTGACCATCATCCAGCTGTGTTCTCACTTGGCATTTGCTCATTCTGCATTGCCTATGTCCTAATTCATTGAGTGAATGCTCCTTACTTAGCAGCTGTTTAGGCAAGGTGATTCCCACCACTGAAGGACAAAAAGGAGGTAAGAGTCATTTGAATGAATTTTGTTCACTTTTCTCTAATTTAGACCCCATTGGAGCTCAGAAGAGGAGTCATTATACACACAAGAATCACTCACAGTTTCAGAGTATGCCAAGGGCTTGTTTAGGTTGGTTATTTTTCTTTGTCACTGTGTAATACACCACTGTACACAAGCCAGCTTTGTCCTCAGACTACATCCCTGAGAGGTTCAGGACTGTTTTGCCCCCAAGGAGGGACCCAGAATAATGGGAAGGAGTTTAGGGGGGGCCCATCATTTCTGTTAAATTTCATGCTCCTCACAACCTTGTCAGGCTTATGCTAAAATAGTATGGATAGTGATCATTGGGTGACAGCTCCAGGGTGGAACACGGGTAAGTGTGACTATCCCCACTGGGGACACTGCTATGAAGGCTACAGAGTCAACTCAGATCTGAGAACTGGACCATGAAACCAAAAGCACACACTTGGTATTCATTTGAACAACAAAGGCTGAGGGATCTCTTCAAAGACTGATGTCTGAAATCTATTTCAACATGGGCAGCAAGTGAGGAGAAACTGATCAAAGAAGAGGAGAGGAATCAGTGCCTTAATATCAATAGCAGAAGGAATCCCTGATTTCAGAATTGTAGCTGTTTTTCTAGTGGACTTTAATTTCCTTCTGAGGACTCTTCATGAAAGGGAGATGTTTGTGAAGTGATTTCTGCAACTAGAATTCTCTTACTATTTCCTTCCACACAAGTGGTCAACATTGAGAGAAGTTACACTGTCAGAAGTGGACACAGGACACTCTGGGCTGTAAATTTGTCCCATGGAAGGAAGAAGCTGCTCCAGCGTTGTACATGCACCAGTGAGCAACTTTGCAGGGACTTCCTTCCATCTGAGATAAGGATAGCTATACAGGGCATTGACTCACATTGATTTCCTGTGCGTGTGTGTTACCTTCTTGGTTAATTCTTTTTGATCTAACTAAAGGGTAATTTTAATAGACAAGTAATATCTTACGGTGATTTGAAATAGTACGAGAAGATAAAAACAAAGTTTAGTAAGTTAGGATTTATTTTTGCAAAAATATGTTAATAGGTATTAAATATTATATTTGTATTTTGTACATTATTACACTTATATAACACAGAAAACATCCAATGTTAACACTGACCTCCCATCCCTGACTGGGCCTTAGCTGCTGAGTATTTTATATTTTACAGAAAGAGCTTTCAAAGTTCCACCAATGCTTATAGTATGTATTATAATGATTCCTTATGAAAATCTTCAGGAAATTTAAAAAATTATTATTAAAAGTAGTCATTTCTTTTTTGAGTATTCTACCACATTCCAGTTTGGATTACCTTCAAATTTCCCAGACATGAAGATATACAAGTAAAGCACCAAAGAATATGGCTTAACACATTTCTAATTATGCCAGAACACATTCAACTTTTAAATAATTAAAAATAAAGTACCCTAAGCAAACATAAAATGTGTTTTGGGTCAAGATATTTCTTAGTAAATGTAACAAATGTCAACAATTTTCTACCAAACTCTTAAAGCATTCAAAAGATATTTTTACTTTATAATTGTTAAACATTGCATCTGTGTAGTAGAAGATACAAGCAATCTTAAAAAAAAAAAAAAAGAAATCTCAAACTATTCAACTCCTAAAAAGATGAAGAAATTTACAAATGAAGAAATCATTATTGTTTCTGGCAAAATATTCTCAAACTCACTTTAAATGTTTGACATATAATAAAAGACTGTTGTACAAATTAAATATTTATAGAATGTTACCTTTCTTGGTTGGTATTATATATTCAATAATTTCAATTGAGAAGAAATCACTTGATAGTTTTTATCACAGTTTATGATTGACTAATAATTTATTCTGTTATTTAGATGGCAGAAAGACAACCAAAAGGAATACCTGATACTTGCTCACTGTCAATGCTGTCTGTTAGTAGTATAATAGGCAAGAATCAGATTGATAGGTCACACATTTGGGTTCCATGTTATTGTGTGTGTCACTGATCAAAAAATATAGACAGACATTGTCAACCTTTTTTGTGTCTTTAGTTCAAGAGCAGTTCGATGATTTGGGGGCTTATGGGGGACTGGTTAGTGCAATACAGAGAACACAGAGAGAAGGTATAAAATGGAATTTGACGCTGGTATCAGTACTTCTCGTTAGAGTAATAACTAAGAATATTATTAATTCTTGTGTTATTTACTCTTCTTTAGAACACAAATCAAAGCCATTAACTTCAATTCAAGGTATATGCACAATACATGCAAAATCCTGAGCAAAATATTTTTCGTAAGTAATGTTATAGTGAAAAGTGGAAAAAATATCTCTGCTGATTTGTATTTTGATTTAGTGGAACAAGCAGAGCACAACATTCAACCAGGGAGGGTTCTACTGACAAAAACCTCTTAAAGTTAAAAAATGTCTTCCTCTCCCTTTTGTACTTAGCTCAGGCTATACAGAGTCCTGATAGGATTCATTATACAAAAAGTGTCAATCCCAGTTTTGGTGAAGTAATTTGGAAGGAACTAATGGAAAGCAAATTTTAAGGTGAGACTTCATATTTGTTTTCAAAAAAGTGGTCTTAATTTTTCTTCTTACAGAAAAGTTTTCAATCAATTCACTCTTAATATATCTTCAAAAATTAATGGTTTATATATATTCATAATAGAAACACAATTACATGAGTAGCCCTCCCTTTCTGATGGTGAGAAAGAAAAGGAGAAATGGGGTGGCCAAGCCCCATATGTGGCTCAGGGTTTTGTGTCCACCATGGGCTGGACTGGTCAGGACAGGCCTCAGAATCTTGGGGCAGCACCCAACTTGTTTCCATCTCTTCTGACTCAAGCCCTGAGAAAATTATCACTGTTCTCTTCTTAGCCTGTGCTAATTCAGTCACCCTCCTTCTTCACACTCCTGGGGGAGCATCAGACACTCAGCTGCTCCCTGACTGCTTACATCAGTGTGGCTGAGAAAAACATGAATTTGCACCAAAAGAGACCAGGAAGCTCTTCCTGTTATCACCTGTAGTATAAATCAGACTCAAATGAGCACCAGAGGTCTGGGTCCCACGGCACTACTCTGGATCAAGAGGTACCTCAGCCAATGTTGGGCATCTGATCATTTTGGGGTACTAGCTTGATGATGAGGCTGACTATAACTGTATGATTGGTCATGATGATGGTCTTCATGGTGACACAGGCTGATGACTTTTACTGTTATGATTGGTCACAATGAAGGTCTTCAGAGTGACGGTAATTGAGGGGTGTGGGGACATAAACCTCAGCTTTCAGGGTCCTGGACTATGACTCTTTTCAAAATTTAAATCATCTTACATGAACACAAGTATAGTTAGTGCTATAGTTAGCTTCTGGGACTGTCTTCTCTGTCTTCTGTCTTATAATAGC